GAGTTCACACTGTGGAAGATGAGGACTTAACTCATCATTTAACATCCTTGCCCCTTCCCTAAACAGAAATACTTCCATCTTCACATCCTCCCAGTATAGCTACAGTATACTATTTGCTTAGACCAATATTCACTGTTTGCATTTTTATGACTATGCAAACTATCCACACATGGATCTCACTGTTTCTTGCAAATCCTCTCACCTGCAGGGCACAGGCAGATCCATTACTTCTGGGAAAAGAGTAGAAGCAGATCCCTCTGCCTCTGGTGGGTGCGTAGGCAACACTTCCCTTACCCTCAGCAGGCAAGACCCACTAATGCCGAGGAAGGGATGAAACTGAGAAAATCCCAATTTTAAGATCTAACAACGCAGATGCCTACCTAAGGTCAACAGACATCCTGTTCCCCTACCTCCCACTTGTCACTCATCGTGAGTAACATGAAACAGCAACCTCTGGGGCAGAGCAAAAGCACGGAGAGACTCTGCTGTGGTGCAGGCACGCAGTGAAAGCTTGAGGTTAGCAGAAACAGAGAAAAGCCCTTCCGCACCCAAACCCACTCTAAGCACATTGTAACTTCAGTCCTTCACACCAAAGGAATCTGAAACCTGTAATGCTCTGAAGACACAGACCAAACCCTAAACAAAGCCCAAGCCCAATCCAACTCCTGACTGACCCACTCCCCCACACTATCAGCCTAAGGAAGAGGCACGCCCATTTTCAGGTGAGTGTATATATTTTTTTATCCCAGTCTGTTATTCTAAATATGATGTACAGCATTCAATCAGAAGTGATGAGACATGCGAAAAAGCAAGGAAAAATAATCTACTGTCACGAGGCAAGGCAATCAATGGAACCAGCCTCAGAGAAGTCTCGTATGTTGGAACTGTCAGACAGGTGCTTTGAAAAATGTAAAACGATGTCAGAGACAACGAATTCCTTTGATAGGCCCAAGTACACTGGACACAGCTGAGGGAAAAAGACTAGTAAACTTGAAAATAGGTGAGTATTACAACTCAAAAAAAAGAGAAAGAAGAAAGAGAAAAATACAGTGAAGAATGTAAGAGCTGTGAGACAGTATCAAATAACCTAAAATATGTGAATTAGTCTCAAAAGGAGAAGAGAGATAAACAGAAAATTTCTGAACGGTAGACAATAATTTTGCAAAAAATAGTGAAAAACATCAAAGTACAGATTCAGCAGGCTCAGTGAACCCCCAATGGGAGTAAGTACCCCATCTTTTCTAGAAACACACATATCCTAAATGTATTATAGTCAAATTGTTTAAAACCAAAGATAAAGGGGGAAAATCTTAAAAAAAAAATTTTTAAATTTTTTTGTTATTTTGGGGTGGGATGGTAATTGGATTTATTTTTTTAGTTTTATTAGAGGTACTAGGGACTGAACCATGCTAAGTATGTGCTCTACAACTTGAGCTATAACCTCCCTCTAAGGGAAAATCTTACAGAAAGCCATAAAAAAAAACTACATACAGCAGATCAAAGATAAGAACTATGAAAGAAATCATGTAAGTCAGAAAACAGTGAAGTGACATCTCTGAGGAAAAGACGTCAACCTAGAATTCTACATCCAGTGAAAACGCCTTTGGAAAATGAAGGCAAAAGAGATTTCAAACAAGCTGAGAGGATGGATGGCTAGTGGACGTACACTGCAAGGAATTAAGTTACAGGAAGTTCTTCAGGCAGAAGGAATACATCAAATAAAAACCTGGACCTAAACAAATAAATGAAGAGTGCTGATTCATGGCTTAAAAAATGAATATAAAAGATTTTTTTCTTTTTAATCACCTTAAAGCTGATTGGTAGCTCCTTTCTTTGAGTGTATAATGTTTATTATTTTTACTAAATGACACATTACTTTGTAATATTTTTTCCTGTAATTACTTTAATTTAAAAAATCATCCATTTTTAATGTTTAACTGCTGTGGGACCAAGAGTCCTCTAATGGTAGTCAGAATGATGGGCCAATTATAAAGCCAGAAATGGACTTTATAACTGATAAATTAATCTGTGATATTGCTTCCCAAGTAGACATTCTGGGCCAAGGGGAGGTTGGTGAACATCAACAAAATTTAGTGGGGATCCATGCGCCAAGCATGGGGGACACACTGATTCACCATATTTATCCTTAATAATTAAACAGAAAAGTGGTAATTTATCAGCTGGTCACCATCAATATTAATAGACAAGTAATCTCTGCTATCATTGAGATTTCTGCCCATTGGGAAAAACAGACTTTAGGCAAACAATTATAAATAAACAAATGACAGCAAACAAACAAAAAATGTACAGTAAAAGTAATATATGTTTTGGTGGTGGATCATGGGATCTAACCAGCTTTTTAAGGGTCAAAGAAATTACTTACAAAAGAGGATAGAAATTCCACATCAGAGGAAAGTACAAGGAACTGGCAGAACAGTACAGAAATAACAGCTCATCCAGAACGAAGGGAGGTAATGATTAGAGATGAGGTTTTAGAGAAGGTATTAATTTTGAGGGTCACGTTATCATGAATGTCAGTTAGATTCAAGAAGAATAAATTTGCAAATTTATCTAGACTGGAAGAAAACATCAGAAAAAAAGTGAAACAAAATATTAACGAGATACATAAGAGACTAACCTTAATATGTGGGAAAATACACCCCTCTGTAACATTAATCTTACCTCTTTATGGCTTGCTATAGATAGCAATTTGTGTTTTGTTAAAGTTGAGCTAAATGTGAATGAATACCCTACATTACTAACCTTGTAAATCTGATCAATAACAGGTCTTCAAGGACAGGATGGTTTTACTGGGCAACTCTACAAAACATGCAAAGAATTTATACTGATCCTTCTTAAACTCTTCCAAAAGACTGAAGAGGAAGGAACACTCCCAAACTCATTCTACAAAGCCACCATCACCCTTATACCAAAACCAGACAAGGACACTACCATAAAGAAAATTACAAGCCAATATTGTTGATAAACACAGATGTAAAAATTCTCAACAAAATATTAGCAAACAGAATCCAACGACACATAATAAAGATCATACAACATGATCAAGTTGGATTCATCCCAGGGACACAAGGATGGTTCAACATATGCAAATCAATCAATGTGATACACCACATCAACAACAAAAGGAGAAAAATCACATGATCACCTCAACAGATGCAGAAAAAGCATCTGATAAAATTCAATACGCATTTATAATAAAAACTGGGCATAGAGGGAACATATCTCAACATAATAAAAGCTATTTATGACAAACCCATAGCTAACATAATACTCAATCGTGAAAACTTGAAAGCCTTCCCTCTAAAATCTGGAAGAAGACAAGGATGCCCACCCTCACCATTTCTATTCAACATAGTATCAGAAGTCCTAGCTATAGCAATTAGACAAGATGAAGAAATAAAAGGGATTCAAATTGGAAGAGAAAAGGTAAAACTATCATGTCATGTGGATGAC